CAGGAGCTGAATAACTTTGTCTGTAATTAAGTATCCTAATTAGCACTCTATTAGTGCATTCGTTTCCTTCTGGGAGAAGCGGCCTGCATCTACTGCAACAAGTCACTGCAGCGCTGTAAAGCAGAAAGCAGGGACTGTGCCGTGAAGAAACAGAGGGAGGGAAGGGACGGCCCGAAGGAAGGGAAGCCACATCTGGAAGCTCTGCTGTGCGGGGCCGCCTGTGCCCAGAGGCAGCTGGGAGCAGAGGGTCGGTTTCTCAGAGGTCTTGGCGTGATAGACCCCGGTCAAAGCCAGCAGGAAAGATGTATTTGGCCAGGAACCTCGCATCGGTGTCAGCACAGGTTTCAGACCTTGCGAGACCCCCTTGTCTTGACTTGTTTGCATCCCTTACAATTTGGGTTTGTTCCTTTTTCTCTTAGCGATGGGCAATTTGAAATACGCTCAGTATTTTGAAAGCATCAGGTCTGCAGCAGTGTCTTTGCAGGCCATGGGGACTCCGCGTGTTCGGGGGGCTCTTTTCTCATCTCAGGAGCACATCTCGGCGTCATGGATGGTCCCTTGGCAACCAAACCCATGTGGCTGTAACTGGGGCACCATCAAGTTGCCGTGTGTTTTTCGAGGCTGAGCCACACCTGTAGGCTCCCTCTCCCCATCACCTGGACGAGCCGAGGTAAAATAACATCAGTGCCAAAAGATTGCTCCATTACACAACTCCTCTGGGTCCCTTCGCTTCCACCCTCATGCCAGCAAACCCTCAGCTCCTCCCCGGCAAGGGCGCAGCCAGTTGCATCGCGTGGTGGTGATGGGGAGAAAGTGTTATTCTTGGCAATCCTTTCCAAGTTCTCTTTTTTCTTTTAATGTTAAACTGTTCATTTTCAGATTTTGAGTCACAATATTTCTCCAAAGGAAAGGCCACGAGTTTGGAAAAAATCCAGTTTATTCTTCAAAATTCGTTGCCATCACTTCAGCGTAAAGGAGCCAAACCACGCTGGCACCTGCTGCCGACGCGGAGGGAGGAGCGGCCCCGACACCTCCGCGCCCCTGCGCTCGCTGGCACCCTTCAAAGCCTCCCGCCAGGCGCTCGGGGTGTCCCCCGAAACGGGGGGACAAGCGCGGGGTAGCGAGGATCAGAGACCAAGTCTTCAGGCCAGGAAGAGGCATTAATGGATGTGTGAAGCCACCAGAGCAAATGGAAATATTTTCATTAACTTAGCCCTAAGGTGCAGTTAAGCAAAGAGTTGAATGGAGATGTTACCCTTATTGGCCTGGTTTCTCATGGGTGGTATAAAACTGAAGATAAACCTAGGTTTGAATTTTTGGGGCCTCTCATTTTTGGTGCCTCAGACCCGGCAGAAAGGCCAAGCTTTGGTTTTGCCCAACTTTCCCGCTCATCCCCCAACAAGAGGAGGTGACTGGATTTGGGAAAACCAGTTTCTCCACGCTGTTTCTCCGCAGTTTGAGCCAAGTGCTTCAACAGCAATGACTCGGGGACAGAAGGATTCCCATGAGAGCTGGCAACCGCATTATCTTCTTCTAAAAATATCTTCCAACAAAACATAAAACCTCTCCAAAATAACCCATCTGAAAGAGCGGGATCCAATTTCGGGCTCTCCGGAGGCCGCAGCTCGGCTCTCGGCTGCAGCGCAGGCCGTGGGATAGAGCAGTGCCGCCGTCGGTCCCCGGGAGAGGCATCCTTCCTCGAAGCAACCCTGGCGAGGAGATGAGCTTCGAGAAACCTGCTGTGTTAAAAGGGCTGTGCTGGGAGGGAGCGCAAACGAGAGCATCCGTCTGCAGGTGCGAGCGATGGGGGAAAGGGGAAGGGAAAAATGGGAGGTTGGCAGGAAGGTGGCTTGACGTTTTGTTGTGGTCACGTCCCTGCAGGGCAGCCGTGGTTACGAGCATCTCGGTGACTCCCACCACCCTGACTGTGGCTCCGAGCATCCTTATGCTGGGAGGAATCGGGGGCTGCCCAGCGTGACTGGCGGGTAGCTCCCACATCCCTCCTTGAGCGCCCTCAAAGTTTATTCCACTCTCTGGGACTGCAAAGTGGCTCCTGAAGTTGGGCTTTTTTTTTTTTCTTCCCGAAGAGGAAAAAAGAAAATTCACTTCCCCCTCCTCCTTCCCTGAGTGTGTTTAATCATTTGCCAGTTAGTCATATTCCTAAGAAAAGCAAACGTTGCGTGATGGTGAGTGACAGCTCCTGAAGAACTGGCACTAATTATATCTCGGCACTGAAAAAAATAACACGCCAGGCTGGCAAATCTTGCTGGGAGGGAGCCGGCTGTCCTCCGGCTGCTCGTGCGAGCGGCTGGGATGCCCCAAAATCACCGAGCGGCCGCTCTCCTGGCCCGCAGACCCCTTCTCCATCTCTCCGCTGTAGGTTTAGGGATGATCAACACTGTCTTGCTTTGAGTTTCATCCCATCCCACCCTGATTTTCCTCCAAGCCTGGTGGGAAGCGTTTAGAGAGGTCTCCCTTCAACTTGTATGTCTTTGATGGATTCAAACTGCCGCTCGCCCCCTCGGGAGCCAATGCTCCTGAGTCGGCACCATCAGCTGCCGCCATCCCCGGCGCTGCTCGAGCGGCATCACCCCTTCCTCGGGTGCCGGGAGAAGCCGGGCATTTGCTTTTTCTCCCGTTGCCTTCGCTGCAGCGTTACTCTGGGGTCTCTCAAAAGCTGTGGGCAGCCGCTGCGGAGCTGCCGATGAGTCAGGAGCGGTAGAGGGAGGGATGAGCTGGATGCTCTGGCTGCAGGGTGTCCAGCAGGCTTTTCTGTATTAACTCTCTTTTATTTATCCTGCTGAGCAGGTTGTGCTGCCCAGACACAGCCCTGCTCACCCGCCAGGCTTTTGTCCCTTGCTGGGGCCTCTGAGGTAGCCAAAACACCCTGTTTTGGGGACATTTCTCCTAAGATGCTCCCTCCTGTCCCCATGGCTGAGCAGCAGGGGTCAGGGGCCAGCACCCATCCCACCCACACCTTGGGCTGCCTCTGCCGTGGCTGCCAGACCAGCACGGGGACACGAGCTGCCGGGTGGGTGTCCAGCCCGCGAGGGACGGCTCCGCATCCGAAACAGCCCCAAAGGGCTGAGCCAGGCTGCTGCGGTGGGGCTCCTGCCGTGCCCTGGGCCGGCGGGGCAGCCTTCGCCCCACCTTTCATGGGTGCTCCGCAAACAAACCCTCGCTGCCGGCCGCTTCTCCTCCCCTTCCGCGCTCACCCAAGGTTTTAGCTGAGGCACCAGTGAATGCTGCAGCATCCACCTAGCCCCCGGGCTGCGCACCGAGCAGCAGCTCCGGCCCTGCTCAGAGTGTTCACCTCCCTAATTCCAGTTAAACAGAGACCAGCAATCCAGTCTGTGCCTTGGGGCAAAATCCCCTATATTTCTCTAAATTTGCAGTGAGCCAGGGCTGGGGGTCCGGTCCCCAGCCCCAGCACCGTGCCTGCGAGCGCAGGAGGGTGCAGGGATGCTCCCCGGAGGGCACAGGCTGCTCCCAAGGACCAGGATGGAGGCTGGGTTTATTCTTCCCAAGGTGTCAGCGGTGGTTTTCCTGGATGGGGTTTTGTTTTCTTAAAAAGCCAAGCGGCTAAAAATAGCCCTCTGCTCGCTCGCCCGCAGTACCCCGGCGCGAAGCCGGCGCAGGCTGTGCGCGGGGCCGACCTTCAGCGCCGCAGCTCCGGCAGCGGGAGCGCAGCTGCCTCCTGCTCCCAGCTCTGCGAGCTGCTGCTTGTGCTCGGCTGCTTAAAGCAGCTGTTTTGCCTCTTGTGTGTCTCAAGAAACACCTGATGGGGAAAGCAGGGGGATTTTTTTCCTTGCTGAAATAGCCACCTGGCCACAGATGATCCCAAGCTTGGGGATTTTGGATCAGATTTAATTACACACCGGGCTTTAATGATCATTTAGTTGCATGGCGATATGGCATCTCCTGCTCCCCATTAGACAGAGGGGGATGTGGGCATGGCTGTCCTCTCTGAGGTCGTGGGCCTTGGGGTGCAGGGACGCAGTGAGGCAGGATTTGAGGGTCAGGGACTCGCAGAGGTCGGATCTGGGAGGGGGGGTGGGACTCAGCAAGGTGGGATTTGGGGGGCAGAGACTCAGTGAGGCAGGATTTGGGATGCAGGGACCCAACAGGGCAGGATTTGAGGGACTCAGGGATGCAGTGAGGCAGATTTGGAGACGGACACCCCACGAAGCAGATGGGGAGCCACCAATCCCTTCCCAGAGGACAGAGGTTTGGGCTCTCCCGGGCGGTTTCGGCTGCAGCAGCCCCTGGCCCTGGGGACAGCAGGGTCTGCAGAGGAGGAGCGTGGACGCAGGAGCGGCACCGCGCTGGGCTGAGCTAAGAGGATTCACCTGCATCCTCCTCCCCGAGGTGTCTGAAAACATCGCAGGGGCATTGCGTGTAGCACTAAGGTACGTAGAGTGAAGAAAACATAAAAATGACCTTGACGCTGGTTTCTGCAGTTGAGGCAGCAGGTAGCTGCTCTGGCACGTGGCCACCCTGCGATGCCCGGTGCGGGTCTCATGCGGACAAACCCCGCCGGGGCTGCCGGCACTGGGTGCTGGGTGCCGCGGGGTGCCCAGCACCACTGCCCTGCAGCTCCGCAGCTCACCCTCAGCCCTTGCTCTCCGCTGTCATCTCTGCAGCAGTTGTCACCCACATAAACTGTGCCTGGAAAGAAATAAATCGTGGGCTCCAGGCTGCTGCACAGTTGTGACGCCGGTTGAGCTTCTTCCTGCCTCCTTAATACCTCCCGGTTGTCTCTGCTGGGTCAGAGGCAGCAAAGCGTGGGAGGAAAGGGGTCTCCCAAGCAAAGGGGATGTCCCACGTTTGCCCCTGGTACCCCCATCACTTGGTGCGGGTGGGACGGGTGTCTCCCCGTGTGGGGTGGTCATGCCCGCGCTGGGCATCGCGGGCAGGGGCGGCCAGACCCAGCTCCCCGCTGAGCGCCGGAGGAAGCAGAGCAGCGCCCATCCCCGCTCCCAGGTGCTCGCAGCGGTATCGTGCCAGCAGCATCACCGGGTCCCCGAGCCGCCCAGCCACGCGTGAGTCATGCTGCAGCTCAGCACATGCTGCCGTCCCCAGCAGCCTGTTTGCAAACAAACCCAGAGGCTGAGAGCTGCTGCTTGGGAAGCGGCCCGGGAGGGACCTGGTGAGGGTGGGGGCCCCAGCGAGCCCCCGCAGCGGCTGCGCAGGGTTTGGCGTCTCTGCCCAAAGCTGGAGCCAGCGCCACCAGGGACCAACATGCCGAGGACGACAGCAAAATGTGGGTGCCTGCGCTGGTCCGCGTGTTGCACCCAGGGGTGAGATGAGTCAGGCAGAGAGGGCTGGAGCGCTCGAAGCGCAGAGCCACGTCGCTGCACCCATGGGGCCATGGCTTTACCAAACGTGTTTTTGACCCGTCGCATCTCCTCTGGTGACAGCCGCTCACCCTGATGTCCCTGTCCCCGGAGCTGCTCCAGGCCCAGCTGTGTTGGAGGTTTTCTTGCACGGAGGAAAGCCATGGGACCCACGAGGCTTGTGCCAAGCAGCCGATGGAGCAGAGGGGGCGACGGCCCGGGAATTCCGCCCCCCCAGGGCACGGCGGAAAACCCCTGCGGACCACCACGCGTTGGGCGCGCCAGCCGATGGAGCAGAGGGGGCGACGGCCCGGTAATTCCGCCCCCCCAGGGCACGGCGTTGCCAGCACGAATAACTCCCAAAACACTTGGGGGGCTTGCGGGGTCGGGCTTGATGGGGCCACGGCTGCTTGGAGAGCAGAGAGATGGCAGGGGAGAGCCTTCCCTAGTGCTGTCAATGCGACTGTGGCATCAGAAACGTGCTCTTCTGCAATGCCTTGAGCGCTGCCCACCAAAGAGGCGACAGGCCGGCCGGTACCCAGGAGGCTCAAGTCTCCCCCAGTGCCATCCTCCTTTTATTTTTCCCACCTTTTATTTTTCATGGTGGGATTTGTGAAGGGGAAAGGATGCTCCTTTCTGAAACCCAGCGCTGCTGGGAGCCCATTGAGGAGCCCTTCAAACCCCGCTCGTGCAGGAGAGCACAAGTACAAACCTCTCTGGAGAGCACGGTTGAAGACTGGAGGTTTCTCCCCTTTCTCCTCCCCACCATCAAGAGGCACCAAATTCTCCTGATCTGGAGGAAAAAGTACGAGTGGGCAAGCTGCATCCCTGGCAGGAGCAGCGGAGCTAAATATAGCCCATTTACACAAAACGAGAGCATTGCGGTGAAACGGCATCACTGAGCACTGTGGTGGTAATTAGCGGTTCCCTAATGAAGAGCTGGGAAAGCAGGAGGTGTCCCTGGGGAGAGCGGCGCCTCTGCCGAGCACCGTGCAGGTGGTGGGGGGTTCCCGATGGCAGTGGGGGTCTGCAGGGATGGACCTGGCAGAATTCCCCTCCCCGCGTCCCCTGTAGGAGTGGCTGGGAGCCTCCTCCAGGACCGAATTGGGGAATAAATCCCCCAGTCTGGCATGGGAGAGAAGAAGGTGAAGCAAAGGGCGAAGGGACCGAGCGGGCACCCCTGGGAGGTGCCTGGCAGTGGGACAGGGATGCCTCATGGTGATGAAACCCAGCGAGGAGAAAGGCTGGCAAACACCGAGCCGGGAGGAGATGGGTCCCGGCGACCTTGGCGGCTGGACTCCGTGGCCTGGTGGCCTCATTTCCAAAGGTTGTCCCCCAGCACTGCCAGTGTCTCGCCTTTGCAAATCAGGGCACCGGTTGCCTTGCAATGGGATCAGCCCTGGCACCCCCAGGAGCCACAGTTTTTCCCAGGATATAGAGAAACAGCTTAAGGAGAGATGGGTATTTAACGAGCCGGCAGCGGGGAACTCATGGGTGTCTCCTTCCATCACCCCAAAGCCACCGCAGCCCCTGCAGCTCCCAGTTCCCCCGTGGTACCCAAGCCCGCCATCGAGCACCGCACTTACCCGTATCCCTCCCTGGTCCCCGCCACCCCCAGCCCTGTGATGTCCCCAGACTCCAGCTTGTCCCCCGCTCAGGGATCTGCCCAGGCACCCCTGCAGCCCCACGCCTGGGGAAAGAGCCCGGCAAGCAAAACTGCCAGAAAGTTACGATGAAGGGGAGTTCGGCCTGGAATTGTTTGGGGCTGTGTTTTCTCCATCACAAGCAGTGATTAGGGTAATGAAGGGATCCTCTCCCCTCTGCTGCCATCCCTATAGCAACCAGCAGCCTCTTCCCGTTAAACAAGTGACTCATCAAACACGATTACACTGATATCAGGGAAGATGATCGTGACTTCTAGCTCTGACAGGAGAGCTGACCTCTCGGGAGAAAAAAAAAATTAAAAAATAGGGGAAATAATAGCTCAAAACTGGATGTGAAGGTGCAGTCCCACGTCTCATCCTCCCCATCTGTCCCGCCGCCCTCACCCTGCTGGGGGACTCCCAGGTGGTAAATAAAGGCAGACTGGATGCAAACAGTTTCTGCGCTGCGAAGTGTGAATCCCCCGCGGCTCTCTGCTGGCGGTGGGAGGCAGGATCCGCGGTGGGCAGCCGGCCGGCGCCGGTGCCAGGGCTCCCTGCGGCAAGCGGGACCCGCGGCTCGGTCTTGGCTGAGCATGGGGTGCCGTGTCCCTGGGGCCAGGCACGACCTGCGCCGTGCACCCTGCTCCTGTCCATGCCATGCACCGTGTCTCTGTCCCTGCCATGCACCGTTCTGCCCATGCCAAGGAAACTGCTGCTCTGCTCCCAGAAACTCCTGCCGAGACCTCCCCAATCCCTTTGAATTTGGCAGGTTTAAAGTATTTGGAGGGTCTTTCCCCACTGCTCGTTTTCTACTTTCTCACTCCTTCTGCCAAGTGCCCTTCTGCCATAAATTCGGCCATGGGAGTCGCGGGGGGACGATGTTTCCCAGCCAAGTGACCTCTAGCATCGCTGCGGGGAGAGGCACGGCACAGCTCTGGGGTAAAGTCCCCAGGGCAGAGGGAAATCCTTTGGGAATAGAGGACTTTCCTGGTTTAAACCCCAGCCTGGAGGATGGAGAAGGCAGATTCCCAGTATATTTAGCAGCAATCCACTCCGGCTGGGTGTTCACGCTCCGGGAAATGTCTCTTTTACCATGGGGAAATTCCCCCCTACTGAGACGCAGCCCTGGGCAGTGGTGCCGAAGGAGAAGACGCAATGCCCAGAGTGGGAAAAATACCTCCGTACACCCAAAATCCAGGTGCGCAGGCCTCAGGCTGAAGGTTGGGCTGAGCCCCAGGTTACTGGCAAGCCCAGTGCCTGCAGCGGCTGTGGCCTGCAGCGATGCTGCCTGCAAACGCCGCCCCGTGCCTGGGGAAAGTCAGGAAGATAGCATCGCCTGCATCATTGATGAGGCAAGGACTTCATGCCTGTGCCCTGAGCTGGGGGAGCAAGCGAGCCCGTCGGACGCAGGGAGCTGAAATCTGCCCTTTCCGTGTTGTTTCTGTTACTAAGAATTTTAGGGGCAGTGGGGCATTTTTAGCTCATTTTGGGCCCCGTCCTGCAGGGCTGGGCAGGGCTCCGGCTCGGGCAGGCAGGCAGCGGGAGAGCAGGGGGAGGCAGCATCTCACGTCAGCCCATGGGGCTGCTCCTGTCGGCTCCCGGCACTTGGCTTTACCCGGTTATAACTCTCCCTGCCTCAAGCTGATTTTTTTCCAAGCCAAGCACTTGCTTTATATGAGTTATTTCACTTACCAGCAAGCAGCTGTGACCTTTTTCTGACGAAGTCCTAGCCCACCCCACATTTCAGACCAGGGCTTTGGATCCGGGCAATGAGGTCCCCAGCCTAACTCCAGGGAATGTGCCCGTGCTCGGGAGATGCTCAGAGGGGAGCCCGGCGCCGTGACTCCACGTAGGATCCTGTTTAAATGTCAGAAGCCACAGTTAAAATCAATAAATAGAGAGGACCGGCTGTGCTTGGGCGAGGGGGTGTCGGAGCTGCCTTTTGCACGACTTCAAAGCTGAGAATTTGTTCCCCGGGTTTTATGAAACCCGACGTCCTTCCTGCCCAGCGGGAAAGGAACAGGGGAGGCTGGAGGGCCTTTGAGCGCTGCCGCGGGGGGCTTTTCCCGCTGGGTGGGCTGCCTGACACCCCCCCGTGCCGGCGCATCGGGGGATCAGCATGGGGGTTTAGTGCTTGCAATGGAGCAACAAATCCGTCCCCGCCGGCACGCGGTGGCTGCAGATTTCTTTCGGCACTGGTGTATCACCGGCACCAGGGCAGCCGACAGCTTTTCTGCACGGACCTGGGACCGTCCTGCCCTCAGACCTGCGTCCTTGTCGGGGCTCGGGGGGTACGGTGGTCCCAGCGTGGGTGCAGCAGCCGAGCTTCTCCGGAGCGGCTCGCCCCACACCCACGTTT